TCCTTTGGCCACAGCAGGTGTTCGATCATTGCGGAGGGCACAGCAGCTGTATAGTCTCCTGCTGCCTTCAGGCATACAAAGGGAGTAGCAGGGTTTATTCACTTCTATGGCTCACCTTATTCATTTATTCCAGATCTTTATCCACCTTTCTTCCAGGGAGTTTAAAGTGGCATATGTCATGGATGTGAGAGCTAACATGGTGTGATGACTTGAATGTTGAATTAGGACTCTGGGAAACCAGGGTTTGAATATCCACGTGGCTATGGACACCCACTAGTTGGCCTTCATAAAGTCACACTCTCGCATCCTAAGGGGAAGGCAATGGCAAACCTCCTCTGAAGAAATGTGATTAAGAAAACACTTGGATAGGTTGATCTTAGGGTTGTCTATGGCATGAAGGCACACAATACCACAACAACATGGGGTGGTCCGTTATGGCTAGGCTAGCTAGGATTGATGGAAGTTGAAGGCCTCAAACATCTAAAGATTCACATTTATCCACACAGGATGCACACGACTTCCCATTTCCCACCAGATGGTTCAGGCTAAGGAATGGTTGGGCTGAAGTCATCTGTTGAGCTTTATTACTAGGAATTTTAAAATGGTTCTAGTCCAGTGCTATAATCCACGCAAGGTAAGAAAGGGCAAATCTAATTATATGAAATGAAGATTTATCTGCAGTACAATATGACCACCATATCTGTAGGGCCCCTTCCATACAGCTGAATAAAATCCCACATTATCTGCTTTGAACTGGAATATATGGTAGTGTTGGCTCAGATATCCCAGTTCAAAGCAGATATTGTGGTATTTTCTGCCTTGATATTCTGGGATATGGGGCTGTGTAGAAGAGCCTTAGGAGATCCGTTCCAGAACTTACAGTGGATACAGGAAACTGGATAACATCAACCCCAATTGAAATGAAGGGCTTCTGCCAGAGGTTACCAGAGTCATCCTGAATGAAGGACAGAGACATAGAGGCATCCTGGGAATGCTACCATAAACAATCAGAAGAAAAAAAATTGGGCCAACTGAGAGCAACATGATTCTTTCAGCGTTTGAAAGAAAACAAACCTGTTTACTTTTTCTTGCAAGTCCACAGATCAACAATCACAGACAAGGAATTTGTGCCTAAGAAAAAAAATAGGCTGGCTAAACCTTTTAATTTCTGTGGATCAACCTATCTTATCTTTCCAGAGATAATCACTTGCAGAGATAATAATATAATCACATTTTAAAGGATGTCAATATGTCTAGCATGTCTTCAGAAAGGATTGCTTGGTCCAATAAAATCAACCTTTTGGAAGGCGGGGGGGGGGGGGGGGAGAGAAAGGAAATGAAGGCATCTGCATTAACATTCATTTCCAAGAAGCTTGATGGGGTGGCTTGAGCCAAATACATTTCTGAATTTGATAAGGGGCATTGACCTTGCTGCCATTGAACTTTTCAGCATTCTTGATCCACCGTGTCGCTTTCCTGAGTTTTCAAAAGAATCCCAATCTATGCTTTCTGACTTGGAAGAAAATTGCTTTCACACTTTGTAAAACTAATCAAAAATTCTTTTTGCCACCCATCTAGTTTTGATTTGTATTGGTTTGCTTGGTGCATTTTCCTCACAAAGAAGCAATAATAGATTAGTTTTCAAATGGCATGTCATGTTATTACGATTTCTTTTCATTGATACTCAGTTTTGTGTCTTTTTTAAAAACTAGCCCTGCAGCCAGACACCCAGAGATCAAAAGGTGAAGCCATTCCTAGCATAAAAATAGAAATATTTACCAAATTTTCTTGTGACAGATTGATGCTGTCAAAAACACAGTAGCAGAAGCATTGTAAGACGTTAGCAACAAGGTAAATGTTTCCTCCACACTTTGCACTGGAGTTTCATAGGGCATAATATTTAGACTCAGCTATTTGGTTCACTAGCTCTGAAAGCAGCAGAACTATATACACCATTAATGTCACAGGAACAAAATTCTTTGCAGCCTAAGCCTATTTAGTCAAGAGGAAATTCCACAGATTTTAGTAAGGCTTTCAAGAAATAGGGAAGGTTGGAATTAAAGCCAACTCACAATAAAGCAGATCAGCTTATGGTCACACTGTACAATTTGTTGCTGTTGTTATCATCCATAGCAGATAAGGGACTGAGGTTTGTAGTTTCCAAGTTCCCCAAGTAAGTGTAGAGTTAAGTAACAGGATTTTTCCAAGGTTGCCTTTTATTCTTTTACAATTGTCCAATTGAATCCCGCCTTCCTCAAATAGAATAAGCAGGAAATACTTTGCATTCTATGAAACTTTATAGTATCCTATGCTTTAATGATCTCCTGCCTTACTTATGTATTTTAACCGTGTTGTACCCCACCCTTGAGCCTTCAGGAGTCTGTAACAAATACAATTTATTATTATTATTATTATTATTATTATTATTATTATTATTATTATTATTATCATGATGACACATTACAGTGGGCATTCAGGATCCATGGGCTCCAGATCTGCAATTTCTACCAATTATGGATTGCGTCATGTATTACTAAATGGTGGTGACGTGAACGTGGACATGCTGAAGCATGCATATTTGTGCAATTTTAATAATATAGGGCATGGGTTTTCATATCCATGCATGGTCTCAGAACCATATCACCCACAGATATGGTAGGCACACATTGTACTTATTTATTAGACTAGTGGTTTTTAACCTATGGATCCCTAGATATTTTGGCATTCAACTCCCAGAAATCCTACAAACTGGTAAACTGGCTGAGATTTCTGGGAGTTGTAGGCCAAAACACCTGGGGACTCATAGGTTGAGAACCACTGAATTAGACTTTTACTTCCCCGCTCCCTTTTCCCCTCAAATAGTAAATTTCTGGGAAAAATTATACAGCACTAATTTGGACAAAAAATGGGATGCAAGGAAGCGTCGGACTAACTTCAGTTTTAATTCTCAATTAGATTTTATCAGATTTATCAGATTTTTACTGAGAGTAAAAGGTAAAGGTTTTCCCCTGACATTAAGTTCTGTCATGTCTGACTCTGGGGGTCTCCATTTCTAAGCTGAAGAGTCGGTGTTGTCCATAGACACTTCCAAGGTCATGTGGCCAGCATGTTTGCATGGAGCGCTGTTACCTTCCTGCCGGAGCGGTACCTATTGATTTACTCACATTTGCATATTTTCGAACTGCTAGGTTGGCAGGAGTTAGGGCTAACAGCGGTAGCTCACGCTGCTCCTCAGATTCAAACCTATAACCTTTAGATCAGCAAGTTCAGCAGCTGAGTTGTTTAACCGACTGCACCACCGGGAGCTCCAACTGAGAATGTTCAGCTAAATAATAGTCTCCTTATGTCCAACGGCAGCTCCTGGAAGAGGTAAATAGAAAGGATGAAGCATTTCTGCACTCTTCTCATATTCAGATGCAGAATGACTGGATGCTGATGGATTCTGGAAGATCTGGAGCCCAGGAAAAGATGGTTTCAAATTTTGGAATACCAGCACATACACACACGGATATATTGGAGGTGGCACCCAAATTTAAGCATTGAATTCATTCTAAGATAATTTTACGCACAATATTATGTCAACTGTGTTTTTTAATTTCACCTTTATGAATGTATGGCATCAAATAGTGCCAATCTGTAACCCGCCTTGAGTTGCCGTATCATTGTAAAATGCTATGTGCTGATTTTCAGAATGTTATGAAAAAAAATGAATAGAAAGTTTGACCGAAAGTAGTGGAAAACAGGCAGAAATAGCAAGTCTATGTGTATTAAGTTATGTAAATGATAATAATTTGTATTCAATGTCAAAATTAACTGGTTGATTGAATAAGGTAGATAGGCATGTACACGTCAAAAATATTGGTACCTGATTATATCTGCCATGATTTGCTTTTCTGTTATGTACCATAATCAAAATAAACAGATTTATTTTTTTTAAAATAGAGAAAGGCAGGCTATAAATGTTGTAAATAAATAAATCATAAAATTACTACAGCAAAACAGCAGAGAGGAAACAACCAGGCACATCTTAACACCTCTCAACAGAACATTTTCCCAGGCTCAGCCAGGCCTTCAAATGCTAATGAAGGTGGTCAGCTGAAACATTCACACCTAGCTCCAGCAGAGAAGAGCTCTTGCCCCACCCCAGCCATTCCACAGATATATAAACCCATTGTCCTAATTCCAACAGACCTCACACCTCTGAGGATGCTTGCCATAGATGCAGGCGAAACGTCAGGAGAAATGCCTCTAGAACATGGCCCTATAGCCTGAAAAAACCCACAAGAACCTAGTGATTCCAGCCATGAAAGCCTTCGACAATACATCCTCCATTAATTCTTATGTAAATTAAAATATTTTAATCCATGGGCAGGCAAAGCTCACTCTTTGGGCCCTTCCTCACAGCCCTATATCCCTGAATTTCAAGGCAGGGAATCTCACAATATTGGGGCCCTTCCTTACAGCCCTAAATCAAGGGCCCTTCCTTACAGCCCTAAATCAAGGCAGAAAATCCCACATTATCTGAGTGTGGACTCAGGACCCTTCCACACAGCCCTCTATCCCAGAATATCAAGGCAGAAAGTCCCACAATATCTGCTTTGAACTGGGTTATCTGAGTCCACACTCAGATGTGGCATTTTCTGCCTCGATATCCTGGAATACAGGGCTGTGTGGAAGGGCCCTCAGATTGTTGTGTAATATTGTATCCTGAAACATGCGAGTGTGTGTTTATGTGCGTGAGAGAGAAAGAGAGCGAGCGCACATCCTAGAGAGGCCCAGCCAGCTCCCACACAAAGCCCCAATTTCCTCGAACCTCGCTCTGCGGAAGGATATTTCCCTCCTTTGCCCTGCAATGAATGAGAGAGAGTGGGAAAAAAACAGGGGCAGAGCTTGGGAGGCCGAGACACGCCGCGATTTGCTGACCACGAACGTTATTGACGGAGACGTGGGCCAATGGCTTGGCGGCGGGCGGGCCTCGCGCGGGGACTCTCTCTGCCAGCGCAGTCGGGCGGCGGGCAGGCTTTGTATTTGTTCGGGGCTCGCGCCGCCAATGCAGAGCTGCTGCAGCCGCCGTGTTGCAAAGCGAAGCGAGAGGATCCCGGCCACGTAAGCCGCTATTAATACCCGCCGTGCTGGGGGAGAGGATGCCTTGCTGAAAGGGGGGTGGGCTCGGCCATCCCTCCCTCCTTTCTTTCTTCCTTTCCTTTGCCCCCTCCTCAGCCCCGTCTACCTCCAGAGAGAGACGCCTGCAAGGCATATTTATGTATTTGCATGCATGCTCCGAACAGCTTGCGCCGTCCCTTTGCCTTGCGAAGGAAAGCAAGAGAACGAAAGGGGATCCCCTTCCATCATTCTCGTTTGGGTGCTGATTGTGAATATATTTATGGGGAGCTGAAGGAAGAGCACCAGACGCCATCTACAGTTGAAAAGGAAGGTTAGAAAGAGCCAAACATCACCCCCATCACAAAGTAAAGAACGGGAAATCCTGCCTGCTGGGGAAAGAAAGAAAGAAAGAAAAGAGTGAATGCTTCTTTTGGAGAGAGAGAGAGAGGCGTGATCAAGGCTGAGAGAATAACTTCAATACTATTGTGTTGATTCCACAGAGGAGGAGAAAAAAAAGCGAGTTGATGCTTTGCAATAGTGGGAAGACTTTGCATTGCAAGCGAATCCTGTTTGAGAATTGTTTTGCGTGAAGCCTTTGCAAGAGGAGGGATTTTCTACGTTGATATTCTGCTCAAAGCCAAGGCTGAGAGCAACCCAACGCTCAAGATATTCTTATACTAAGGATTCAGAAAGAAGTGAAGACTTCAGCAAAGGCGGAGAGGAGCTTAACTATTATAACCAAACAGTGGGTGCTTTGCAAGGAAGGAAGACTTTGCATCCAATACTATTTTGAATTATTATTATTATTAATATTGCTTTGCAATCGAGCAGTGTTTTGTTTGCACTGACTCCCGAGAGAGAGAGAGATCTCCAGCCTCCAAGGAAGACAAGAAGGGAGGGAAGGAGGGAGCTCCCTCTTTGCCCAAGCCTGGCCGGCCCGCGAGGAGTGTGCCGGCGGCGTGCTTGGCCGCGCGGGGCTTTTCCCCGGAGGGAGGAGGAGGAGGAGGGAAGCCTCGCGCCCCCCTCGCGCCTTCCTTCCCCATGAACATACAACGCTCGCCGCCGATCCCCATCGCGCGCTATGGGAGGCCCCCGCGGAGCAAGACCCAGGACTTCGAGGAGCAGCTGGCTGCTTCCGCCGCTTCCTCCGCCGCCGCCAGGCCCCCTTCTTCCTCCTCTTCTTCTTCCTCCTCCAACGCCGCCGAGCCCAGCCCCAGCTTCAGCCCCAACCTCGGCTCGCCCAGCCCGCCAGAGACTCCCAGCTTGTCGCATTGCGTTTCTTGCCTCGGGAAATACTTGCTGCTGGAGCCGCTGGAAGGAGACCACAGCTTCCGAGCCGTGCATCTGCACAGCCAGGAGGAGCTGGTCTGCAAGGTAAGACCAACCCACCCTCCCCTCTTCCTCTCTCCCTCCTTGCCTTCCTTCTCCCCCCCTTCCCACACAGCCCTATATCCCAGAATATCAAGGCAGGAAATCCCACATCTCATAGGAAACTCCTTATGAGATGACACTGAGTCCACACTCAGATAATGTGGGATTTCCTGCCTTGATATTCTGGAATATAGGGTTGTGTGGAAGGGCCCTCTTTCTGTATTGCATCCACACTGTGGAATGGATGCAGCTTGAGTTACTTGCATTAGCAAACCCCTGTGAGATGACACTGAAGAGTTGATGCACTTTGACCCCACTTTAACATGTCTCACTGCTACTGAGAGCCCTTCCACACAGCCCTAAATCCCAGAATATCAAGGAAGGAAATCCTACGTTATCTGAGTGTAGACTCAAGGCCCTTCCTCACAGCTCTATAACCCAGAATATCAAGGCAGGATATCCCACATTATTTATTAATGTATTTATTTATTTATTTAGAGTGCTTCTACCCAGCCCTTCTCAACACCCGAGGGGGGGGGCTCAGGGCGGCTTACAAAAGGCACAGTTCGATGCCCAACAATTCACAAAATACAATATACAATTTAGAATATAACAACGACAGTTATAACTAACTAAAACAGTCAAATTAAAACAACAGCAGCAATAAAATCATCTTGTGGTCAACGTTCATCAATTCATAAATCCATAATCCATCCAGCAATGTCATTGTCCTTTCCTACTCTGGTCTTATCTGAGTGTGGACTCAGGGCCCCTCCTCACAGCCCTAAAACAAGGCAGAAAATCTCACTTTGTCCACACTCAGATAATGTGGGATTTCCTGCCTTAATATTCTGGGATATAGGGCTGTGTGGAAGGGGCCTATTTCTGTATTGCATCCACACTGTGGAATGGATGCAGGTTGAGTTACTTGCCTTAGGAAACTCCTGTGAGATGACACTGTAGAGTTGATGCACTTTGACCCCACTTTAAGCTGTCTCACTGGTACTGAGAGCCCTCCCTCACAGCTCTAAATCCCAGAATATCAAGGCAGGATATCCCACAATATCTGAGTGTGGACTCAGGGCCCTTCCTCACAGCCCTAAATGGCAGAATATTAAGGCAGGAAATCCCACAATATCTGAGTGTAGACTCAGGGCCCTTCCTTACAGCCCTAAATCAAGGCAGAAAATCTCACATTATCTGAGTGTGGACTCAGGGCCCTTCCTCACAGCCCTAAATCACAGAATATCAAGGTAGAAAATCCCACGTTATCTGAGCGTCGACTCGGATACCCTTCCTCCCAGCCCTAAATCAAGGCAGAAAATCCCACATTATCTGAGTGTGGACTCAGGGCCCTTCCACACAGCCATCCCTATATCCCAGAATATCAACACAGAAGATCCCACAATGTCTGTGTCCACACTCAGATAATGTGGGATCTTCTGCCTTGATATCCTGGGATATAGGGCTGAGTGGCTTCCCCAAGATAGGCTCTGTATCCCAGGATCTGATCCCATTATATGAGACTACACTACCAGTTCATCTAAGGGCCCTTCCACACAGCCCCATATCCCAGAATATCAAGGCAGAAAGTCCCACATTATCTGTGGGACTATCCTTTCTCCCCTCTCTCTTTCTGTCAGTGCTGCATCCACATTGTGGAATGGATGCAGCTTGATTTATTTGCCTCAGGAAACCCCTATGAGGTGATACTGTAGAGTTGATGCACTTTGACCCCACCTTAAGCTGCCTTGTCTCACTGCTACTGAAGCAGGGGAGTTGCAGTTTAATATGGTCTGTCACCATCCCTGCCAAAGAGTCCTACCACTCTGGGGCCTTCCACACAGCCATATATCCTACAATATCAAGGCCCCTTCCTCAGTACACAGGTGAATACAATCCCACATTTTCTGCTTTGAACTGGAATATATGGCTGTGTGGACTCAGATAATCCAGTTCAAGGCAGATATTGTGGGATTTTCTGCCTTGATATTCTGGGTTATAGGACTCTGGAAGGGCCTTAAGACAGATAATCTTCAATATCTTCTTTGAACTGGGTTATCTGAGTCTACACTGCCATATAATCCAGTTCAATGTGGATTTTTTTTACTGCTGTGTGAAAGGGGCCTTTGATGTAAGATCCTCTGAAGTTGCCATCCACAGATGCAGGTGAAACATCAGGAGAAAATACTACTAGAACACAGCCCATATAGCCAGGAAACTATACAATACACAAAGTCAGACGACTCCCGGGATTCCATAACCTTGACCCATGACCATGAAAAGTTATGGGGTCAATTTACATTATTTCTTCAGTAGTGATGCATGGTGTCTTGCTCACACTGGCGACCAAGGCATGTGCAAACTTCAGCCTACCAGGTGCTTTGGACTTCAGCTGTCACAATTCCTAACAGCAGGCTGTTAGGAATTGTGGGAGTTGAAGTCCAAAACATCTGGATGGAGGGCCAAAGTTTGCCCATGCCTACTGTAGACAATGTCTTTGAGGTCTCTTCTGCACTGTCATATAAAATCCAGATTATATCTGCTTTGAACTGGGTTATATGGCAGTGTAGACTCATGTAATCTAGTTCAAAGCAGATAATGTGGGTTATCTGCTTTGATAATCTAGGGGCCCTTCCACACAGCCCTGTATCCCAGAATATCAAGGCAGGAAATCCCACATCTGCTTTGAACTGGAACATCAGATGCATGGAGTGATGGAGACACATAGAAGAGGCAAGTCTGGATACAGAATGAACAGCTTGACACCTTTCTAACTGCCATGATTCACTGCTTTGGATTTCTGGAAGCTTTGCAAGGTCTTTAACCTTCTCGTTTCAAAGAAGGCTGGTGAGGCACCAAACTATAACTCCCAGTATTTCATAGCATTCAGCCATTGCAGTTCAAAGTGGGTGTCTGGATGCACTCCCTGGGCCCTTCCACACAGCCATATATCCCAGAATATCAAGGCAGAAAATCCCACAATATCTGCATTGAACTGGCTTATCTGAGTCCACACTGCTATATATTCTAGTTCAAAGCAGATAATGTAGGATTTTACTCAGCTGTGTGGAAGGGGCCTCAGCTTTTCACACTTTTAGGGTACATGTAGAATGAATGGCCTTGTTTAAGTACCTCTTGCTTATGAGATTCACAGAGACACTTTAGCCCAACTAGGAACCACTTTAATTTCAATGACTCAAGGCTATGGAATCCTGGGAGTTGTAGCTTTACAAGGTCTGCAGCATTTCCAGCCCAAAAGGGCTGGGGGCTCACCAAACTACAACTCCCAGGACTCTATAACATTGACCCATGGCCATCAAAAGGGCACATGCATTCGAACAGTGTAGGAGCACCCATAGAGAGCCAGGCCTTTTGTTTTGTCTGTCTGGCTTCTTTTGGAGTCGCTGGGAATCACTGAGCCAGAAGCTCCCAGTTGGTTTAGGCACTAGGAGAGATTCAATAAAAGTGAACCGTGCAAAAACACAACAGCAAGTTTTCAAACAATGGCCACATTATATGGGGGCGATTTAATGGAAGCAGCCTCAAACCTTACAGAACACAACAGCAACTTTTCAGACAATGGTCACCGTTACACGGGGGCGATTCAATGAAAGCCAACCTTGCAGAATGCAACAGCAACTTTTCAGACAATGGCCGCGTTATCACACGGTGGCCCAGAGCCAAAGCAAAAGGGGAGGCTGTGATGAAAGGCTAGCTAGCTCCACAAACATATTTTCATTTGCTTCCTCACAATTTCCAAGTGAGGATTCCTTGCTAAATTCTTGGTGTGGTGGAGACTCAGATCACCCTAGACATGTCCTACTGAGCAGCTTTGCCTGCTTGAGGCGGCAATCCTTGGGCACAAATGCACCGAGTGGCCTGGGACAACAACCCAACGTGGCCACAACATAACCTGGGATTGAGCTTCAAAGTGGTTTGCAATGCACTTGAGTAAAATAGCCTGGTAGAGGTTTGTTTGCAAACAATCCCCCCCCCCTTTCCCTCCAGCGAGCACTCAAAAACATCTTTTCAGAATTAACGTGTAAAAGAAATGTTTCCGAGGAAGCTGTTTGAAAACATCCACTACCTTCCCAGCCTCCGGCTTTTCCTCCATTGTGAAGTATGGGGTGGGGGGGGGGGGGGGGGGGGAAGGAAGCCCACATGCTCCCATTCGCTCACAGGCGACACTATTTCCTTTGTTCCTAAAGTGCTGTGGTGACTCTTCCAGTCTGCCTTGTGCGCCAGGCTTGGATTTCCATTTGTTTGAGCTCTTGGAAACAGTGGCGGGGAGGAGGAGTGGGGGGATTGCCATGCTCCCAATCGCCGTCTAGACATTGTTCTAAAACATATAAATACAAGGACCCCCAAATTCCTTTTCCCTCCCTAAAAAATATAATAATTCCGGGATTGAATTGATATGGAATGAACAGTAGATGCCGTGACCCTGTTTCAATAATAACGCAAGGGCCTGGATAGTCTGGACAAGGGGATTTTTAAAATTTAGATTCATATATATGAATTACACTCCCCGGTTACTTTTAGGGCTCTTGTTTCAGGGCAGAGTGAATGTCCTGGTCACTTCGTGGGCCGTGAACTCTGGGACTTTAATGAAGGTTTAGTCCTCCGCAGTTTATACCTGATTATGCCAAAGAGAGGCTCTGACCTTGACAAGCTGGCTGCAAGGTGTTGGAAATCGGAGTAATGATGCATGTTATTTTAAATGCATGCCTTCGTTTGTCTAAATAGATGCAAATCAGTGTATTCGTAGCCTCCTGCTGCGAGGAAGTGTAGTCAAAAGCCAAAGGAGGAGATTGACATGAAAAGATGAACAGGCAAAACAAAAGACCCAACCAAAAATAGTATTTTATTTTGTTTGTAAATTGTAGTTTTCCTTCAGCCCTTCTCCCAGAATAATGTTTGCTCCTTCCAAAGTTCACATCTTCCTCCATTGTCATGAAACTTGCAGTCTTTTTCGCTTTATTCAAGGTATTAAGAGTATTTCAAGATTTCAGGATGCCTTTGAGCATTTTTTGTAATTCTAAGATGAACACCTTGAAAGTGACCTCACTTGCTCATTGCAAGTCATTAAATTGTTTATTTGGGTTTTTCTCTACTGTTTCAGAACCTCCTATATCAACACACTCCCTCTGTATAGTAGTAGTAAAAATTATGCTGTCTCGTCTTACTAAAAATGGGCTTGTGACTTTTCCCTGCAACCCCCCCCCCCCCTTTCCCTCTCCCATTTCCAACAAAGCATGAGGACCAGATAACAAAGGCATGCCAATGAGACCTGATTTGGTGTGCATTATATCCTACTAGAATCCCAGCAATTGCTGATCACTTCTTGTTGCTGGGAATTGCTACGTTTCTCTACCTTTTTTTAAAAAAAGTCCCATGTACTGATTTTGCATGAAAGAACAGCAGTTCAACAAAGATAAGCGCATGTGAAGTCAATCCAAAATGACTTTTTTGAAATGGTTGTCAGGTGGGAAATGCCACTTGTGGAAGGATTACATGTTTTAAAATACTTGGGAGATAATTAAATTTCCCAAGGAAGCTTTGTAAAGGTGAGGGGGATGCCAGAAATGCAAGGGGGGCTATTTTCAGAGCTTCAGGAACATTTATTTGCAGTGCTGATATCGAATAGGTTGAGTTGCCCTTGGATCGGGCTGTGCGTTTTGACAAAATCAAAGGCCATTGTTTCTACTTTTTCTATAGCTAAGGGCCCTTCCACAGCACCATATATCCCAGAATATCAAGGTAGAAAATCCCATAATATCTGCTTTGAACTGGGATATTTAAGTCCACACTGCCATATATTCCAGTTCAATGCAGATAATGTGGGATTTTATTCAGCTGTGTGGAAGGGGCCTAAGTTGACCTATTCAGAGAAAATAATCCCATCTTTTTTTTTGGGGGGGGGGGATAAAGAAATGTGAGGGAGAGATTCATGGAACATTTAAGTTAGATTCATGGAACATTAAAGCTAGAAACTTACTTGATTTCAACCAAGCTGATTTAATGAAGGTGGCTATTTTATCTTGGAGTGGGATTCACTGAATTAGATACTTCTGAATATTCATGAATAGGACAAGGTGGTGCAGTAGGTTAAACCGCTGAGCTGCTGAACTTGCTGACCAAAAGGTCGGCGGTTCGAATCCAGATAGTGGGGTGAGCTCCTGCTGTTAGGCTCAGCTTCTGCCACCCTGGCAGTTTGAAAACATGCAAATGTGAGTAGATCAATAGGTAATGGTGCTCCATGCAGTCATGCCAGCCACATGACCTTGGAGGTGTCTATGGACAACACTGACTCTTTGGATTAGAAATGGAGATGAGCACCACCCCCCAGAGTTGGACACGACTACACTTCATGTCAGGGGAAAACCTTTACCTTTATCTCAGTGATTCCCAACCTTTAGGTCTCCCAGTGTTTTGGACTTCATCCCCCATAGTTCCTAAGCTGTCTGGGATTTCTGGGAGTTGAAATCCCAGACACAAATTCTGGAGGCACAAAGGTTGGGAACCACTGCTTTACCTCTACCTTTAGGACTAGGTTGTAAGTCTTTAAGGAAAGTGCTCTCCTGTTTCTGAAAATGGCAGTAGATAAAGGGTAAGCAACAGTGGCTCTCCATGTTGTTGGACTACCGTTCGTAGCATTTTTTGCCATAGGTAATACTGACTAGAAGTGATGGGAGTTGAAGCCAAACAATTGAAAGGCTAAAGCCCCCCCCCCCCATTTGAAGTAGTTTTTTTAGGCTGAAGACAATACAGAGTGGTGCCTATAAGAAGGAATGAATAGTTAGCCCCCTCTATTCTTGTGTTGTTCAACAGTGTTAGCTTGTATTCTTTAATAATAGTGTTAATCTGTTTTAGTAACTTTCTGACCTTCATTGTTGAGAGACAAAGGCATCAGGAGAATCTTACTGCCTATACCAAGAATGAAAACCTTTGTTGTTACTTGATACTTCTTCTTACTGCACTGCAACCATTATTCTCAATGAAGTCTTCCTGTTGCCTCGGATCTCTGCGTTCTTTCCAAATGTCTCAAGCACTGATTCATTCATAATCACTGGATTAGTGTAGCATTTTTATGCCGGAGTTTCCCGTCATGCTTTATGCCTTTTTACCATTCATTCACAAGATCACAAGGTGACATGGCTGTTACTGTAAGAGGCATTGCTTTGTTTCAGATTAGACACTGGAATTATTTTTTTTAAATGATTGATCACAAAGGTATACTCCAATTGAAGGATTTTCTTATGGTATTTAAATGGGAAATGTTTGGTCTAACCACAAAGAGAGTTCTCCATTGCTCAGCAACATCCATGCTTCAGAAGTTACTCCACAAAGCCTCTCCAGCCCTTTTTCTCTGTGTGGACATTCAATAACAAGAAGCTTTTTAATTTGGCGCATCCACTCCCCCCCCCCCTTTCATTGTTAGTGGTGTGTGCCGTCTAGTCTTTTCTGACTTACTGCAAACTGTCATGGGGGTTTATGGCCAGATTTGTTTAGTAGAGTATGCTGTTGCCTTCCTCTGAGGCTGTGACTTGCCCAAGGTCAACCAGTGGGTTTCTATGGCTGAACTGGGGTCAAACCCTGGTATTCAGAGTGTAGCTCAAACTGCTATACCACATTTGTCCAACATTGTGCATAGCATACTCTTGGTCTGGAATGTAAGCAAGACTCTCTTTATCTGTTTCTTTGTGTGAAAAGCAAGAGAGGACTTGGCAAATGTTTACTCCAGTTGCTTATATGCTAGACAAGTCAGCAGGAAGCTGCATTGACTAGCTGAGTTGCAGAAGGAGAATATTTTTGTTACTTTCTGGCAGCTAATGGCTTCTCAACTAGGGGCCCTTCCAGACAGGGCCTATCTCTCAAGATCTGATCCCAGAGTTTCTGCTTTAAGATGGATTATATGAGTTCGCACTACCAGATAATCTGGGATAAACAGAAAACTTGGGATCAGATCCTGGAATATAGAGCCTGTCTGGAAGGGCCCTACCACTGGTCTATGGATCCCACCAGTTTGGGACCATTCAGAGTTACAGCCAAAGACCTTGTCCTCCAAGAGAGAGTGACAAAGGCCTTTGGGGTCCACAGACCAATGGTAGGATTCATGGACCCATGCGAGCTGAGGAGCCATTAGCCGCCAGTCACTGGAGAGTTTCCAGGAAAGAAAGTAATAGTTGTAACCAATGGAAACAATGATGGAATTAGGCTATGATATGTTAGGAGTAAAATCATGTACCTCTATCTTGCTTTAAAACATTGCTGGGATGCACCAGAAGCTTCATCAGAGCCTTTCTCTTTTGTTGAAGCCCATTGGGAAGGGAGGGATTCAAGAGCTCCTTTGCCCGAGTTACATACGAGTGATTCAGTGTGTTATTTGGTGACCTGTGGCCTTTGATTTGTTTTCCCTGACAATCTGAAAGTGAAATTGGCTACTCTGACTCTTTTCACTGCCAGAGAATAAAGGCAGGCAAGGCATATAAAAGATAAGTAGTTGCCGCCTTAGATACTGGTCCCGTTTGGCTTGTATGCAATATGTTTACAAGATGATAGGGTCCTTTTTTAATGGAGACCCTCAAGGTTTAAAAGGTTAACAGTGCCCTTTTAGTGTGACAACACAGACCATCAAGTTTCGGTCCTGAAATTCAATTACAGTAGTAGGCTGTCAGAGATTTCTAGTATGTTTACTTCTAGACAGAGTTGTTTGTTTTTAAATTATATGCTGACAGGAAATCGGTGCATCCCCTCTCCTTCCTCCAGCATTTTACCTATCCTTTGCGAAGAATAGGTTTCAGAAGGATGACAGTAATTCCAGGCTTCATAAGGAAATGGTTCCTGTTAGGATATGTGTGTGTTTTCTGTTTGATAGGCTTCATTTGTTCTAGAAATGCCTGTCAGCTACAACATGTTTCTCTCTAATTTTCTAATCCTTTCTTTTATTGCCAACTGCGTTTCTAGGTGTTTGATATTGGCTGCTACCAAGAATTACTCGCGCCATGTTTTTGCCTGCCTCCTCAAGACAACATCAACCAAATCACTGAAATCATCCTTGGGGAGACAAAAGCCTATGTGTTTTTTGAGCGGAGCTATGGGGATATGCATTCCTTTGTTCGTACCTGCAAGAAGCTAAAGGAGGAGGAGGCAGCCAAACTCTTCCACCAGATAGCATCTGCTGTAGCGCACTGTCACGACGGTGGACTGGTACTGCGGGATCTCAAGCTGCGGAAATTCATTTTCAAGGATGAAGAAAGGTAAGGCAGCTCTCTCCTCCTTCTTTCCCCTCCCCTTCTTATGAAGGCATTGTGAATGTCACTTTGAATGGGTTGTTTTCTGATGGTTAATTCTGTCACAGGATTTTTGTTCTTCCCCATGCTGTATGGAAATGCCAGAAATACACACACGTTTTAATGGAGATTGCCTAAGGTGTGTAGTTTACCTAAGGATACCTCTACACTGCAGAATTAATGCAGTTTGGTGAAGCACAGGCACTTTAGTAGAGAAGGCTTAAGACCTTGTAAATCAGTGGTTCTCAACCTGGGGTCCCCAGATGTTTCTGGCCTACAACTCCCAGAAATCCCAGCCAGTTTACCAGCTGTTAGGATTTCTGGGAGTTGAAGGCCAAAAACATCTGGGGACCCCAGGTTGAGAACCACTTTTGTAAATGGTGCCAGACAAGGGCCGTTGGTACTCTAAGGCAGCACTGAGCTTTACCCTCTCTAAGGTGTGACCCCTCCCCCCCATGGGTTATATCAAATTCTGTAGAAAATCCCTGTAGTAACAAGGTGGACTTCTACGTAAGTATGTATTGTAGGTCTGGATGTGGTTGATATCAAACCTATATGAGTTTGAGTTCCAGGAGAGAAGTGAGATGGGATATATTGAAAAATAAAAACATTTCTCAATCAGTTAATGGATTTGTACTACTTTGCGTTGCTCATTAAGAGTTGAAATTAGAACACACACATATTTTTTGCATTCTAGGCTTTCCTCTTCCACTCCTTTGGTTAGATTCATAGGAAGGGTGTATTAACTTCTAGTGAGAATATAGATTCCAAATTTTAAAAGTGCATTTTGCAATTCAAGGAATTGGTAAGCTTCCAAGAAGTCCTCAAAAATGAGTTTTAAGATCAGTATTTGAGAATTTTTGCTTGGGGCAGTGGTCTTAGTGGGAGTTGTAGAAACTACAATCCACTCACTTGTACCAATTCCTCTTACATAGGAATAAAGAACCTTTGGCCATTGAGATATTAATGGCTGCAGACTCAAAACATACATATGTACATTTGCACAACAGTGAGCTGGACTGGAAGAGACTTTTTGCATTTCTTTAATGTAATGAATTGACACTTGTTAAGCTGGCTTCTTAAGTGATGCTAAGAATATCTGTGTAGGTAGAGAAACAGCAGAAGACGGGGGAGGACATGGCTTATTTCTATGATGTGTTGTCGAAGGTTTTCATGGCCGGAATCACTGGGTTGATGTGCGTTTTCCGGGCTGTATGGCCATGTTCCAGAAGCATTTCCTCCTCACGTTTCACCCACATCTATGGCAGGCATCCTCAGAGGTTGTGAGGTCTATTTCTATGATGTCCAGCAAAACAACAGGTCTAATTTTAGCTGTTTACTATTTCCAGATTTTTTTTTTATTTTTATAGCACAAGTAATCAAGCATGAAAGAATATTCTCTACCATCTGTGTGTTTTGGGATTTAGGAGATGAAAATTCATTTTCTCTGCTTATCAGACAGTTCCCTAGAACATGTATATCGTGTGTGATATTTACTTTGCTAATGATTGCAGACACAACACTGAATTGTACTGACCTGTTGATGTGCTCTGTTTCTGCCAGGCTGTCTTCCACCTTGTTAAAATCATGGTTTTGGGTTTCTTGGTAGTTGGTGGCATTCAGAAGCCTTTGATTAAATACTTAGAAGGAAATGAAGCCTTTGTATTTCTTTCCTATGAGTCAGAGAGAAAGAGAGAGAAAGACAAAGACAGCACTTCCCTTTCTGATTGGCATTTTGTGTACTTCCACACTTGTTCCACATCACTAATTTTCTTTCTACCCCCTAGAGCTCTAGTATTCTCTTTGTTTCCTGTTGATGACAGTGCTTTGTCTACACTGATGTTCCCTCATTTCTATTGGTTGTGTGGCTTAGGAACAGAATGCTGAGCTGTTATGCTATTTTGTATGTATCTTGGTAGTATGCTGTGTTCAGGCTTTTCAGCTATGCATGGCCTCACTTGTGCTGGCACATGGTGAGTCTCTACAAAATACACAAGGACTCACCTTGCACTGGTGTATGAATTGTGGTCTGTAGTTACCTGTCAGAACGTATCTCTCCTATGAACAATCTAGGACTTTAAGATCTTTTGAGGAGGCCCTGCTCTCGGTCCTGCCTCCTTCACAGATGCGTTTGGCAGGAACGAGAGACAGGGCCTTCTCAGCGGTGGCCCCTCAGCTGTGGGACGCCCTTCCCACAAATATAAGATTGGCCCCCTCCCTCCTGACATTCCGTAAGAAGGTTAAATCATGGCTCTTCAAACAAGCTTTTGCTGACACAACATAATTAGATAAAGATGAAATTCGGAACGATTTGACGATGCACTTAGATCACGATTTTAGTAAAAAGACGTCACAGATTATGTTTTTATGGCTTTTTTGGTTTTTATTTTATATTAATTGTATTTATAATCCTTTCTTTTACTTGCATTTATAGTTGTGGAGGCATCAAATTGTTGCCAGTTGTGAACCGCCCTGAGTCGTTTTTGAGCTGAGAAAGGTGGTATATAAATGTGATAAATAAATAAATAGTTATTCAGAAACTGTTCCTCAACTTGAGACATCTTTACTGGTGTTTGGACCTGGAGGGGTTAATTTTGGACAATAACTCCCAACATCCTTTGGTTATTAATAGTGGAAGAAGAATCTTGGATTAACTGGATGCAAACATAAACATGCCCATTTACATCTGGTGTTGCAGATGATTTTTAGACAAAACACATGCTACTACTTATTATTTTATTCTGTTGTTATTCTGGGTAAGATGTTTTGATGTGTCATATCTACGTCTATATTTGTAGGTCTAATTATGGAACTTTTGGCACCTGGATCACTTGTGTGGGTGAAGTGTGTTGTGACCATGCTGGTTCAGAGTAGAAACCAGCACTTTATGATGTTGCCAAAATATGGATCACACATCACCTACAAGTCTGTTGACTGAGGATTAAGTCAAAGGTGTAATGGAATAACCTCTAATTAAACGAGTTCTTATATGAAAGAGTTAGATTCTAAACATTATTCTGAGTGTGTTTTGAATCATAGTTTTTTTTTTCATCTATGGCAAGTCATTTTCCTGCCACCAAATTATTAATGTTTGAAGAGTGTTTTAAATCTTCAATTATATTCAAATATTAGCTGTCATAATATTTGATACTTAAAAGTTCTTGCTTGTTAATCAGTCTTGTTACCAAGACCCCCACACACGTCTCTCTGTGTGTGTTCTGTATTGTAGGTGCTGGTTGATGCTTATTTTATATGAGAAAGTTGTCTTTGAGCAGGAGTTGAGAATGGCAAGCCATTATATTTTGCATCACTAAAGTATCGGTACACTACATCAGAAGGCAATTTGCTGATGTCCAGATATACACTATATCTTCTGGGCCTGCACATGGATTTCTCTATATACAATCCCAGCCGATCTATTGAAGTTGAATAAGAACTAAAGCCTCAAAGTCTGATTCACAACTTAGCTGACCAGTTAACACAGTGGTTCTCAACCTGTGGGTCCCCAGGTGTTTTGGCCTTCCATTCCCAGAAATCCCAGCCAGCTTGCCAGCTGTTAGGGTTTCTGGGAATGGAAGGCCAAAACATCTGGGGACCCACAGGTTGAGAACTACTGAGTTAACACATCCCTACTTAGAATAAAACAATGAGCCAGTGTGGTGTAGTGGTTTGAGCACGGGACTATGGCTCTGGATACCAGGATTCAAATGTCTGCTTGACCATGGTGACTCTCTGGGCAGCACACATTGAGCCCCAGAAAACCCTATGATAGGTTTACTTTAGGGTGGCCATAAGTTGGAAGCCACTTGAAGACACACAACAACAACAAGACTTAGTGTAGATGTTCTTTCCACATGATACAATCATATCTATGCAATAAAACTGTGTAATTGAAATTCCTTCCAGTACTACTACTACTGCTAATAGTAACAATAACTTTATTTGTATCCCACCCTATGTCGAATGGATTCTGGACCCTCAGAAAAGATATTGAGGGATGAGGATATGCCATTTGTAATGGCTTCCTGGTCCTTCGAGTAATTATTTGACTGCCATAGGGGTAGCTCCTATATCTCTGTTGACCACCTATAAACTTGGCTTATATCTCAGCTAATAGAACATGTACAACTCGCAGAATGTTGCATGACATTACTTTGGAAAATGACTTCAGTAGTTTTAAGACTGTTCTAGATTTTAGTTTTCTTGAACATTGAATGAAAACCACCTTGACCCATAAAATCTGAGAAGAGATACAAGCTGTTGCATTCCTTAGTGGTTACTAAGTGGTAGATTTGTCATAGCTGTCAGTTGCTTTTGGTTTTTCATTCACTTGCGTATTCAGAGTGATTTATCATAGTTAGTCCTTAGAAATATCAGTTTGAAGAATGTGTGATTTGTGAGAATATTTTAAAACATCTCCTAAATTGAGACACTGATTTTTTGTTTCAGAATTTATGTTTATTTGTTAATTTGTTGTTCTTCATGGTTTCTGAATCACACAAATAGGTTATTTTGACACTTGAGTCCTAGTTTGAGAAAAATATAAATAAAATTAAGTAGTAATAATATAGTAGTGGTTGTTTTTCAATTAACGTTAATCATAAACCCCTTATTTTGTATAATTCATCCTCTCGGCAAACCTGCAGAATAGGGTGCTGCTATTCCCATTTATACACTTCAGGAACTGAGACTGGCAGTTCTTGGTCAAAGCCCACCCAAGAAGTTTGTGTCTTAACATATATCCAATCCCTAGATTCCCTGTTAGAAATGAATTATCCTGTCTGGAGGATTGCACAGAATTAGTAGTAGATATCAACCTCTGATAGTAGTACTCACTACTGAGGTGCCAGACTTATGCTTGACTGAATATATTTTTATTCAAATGTAGAGTTACCATCTAAAGTTGAGCTGTGAGATCAAGTAACTTCTTTTACAATTGGGATGCCAGATCAGAAAAGTGTGAAATC